AAGCAAAGCTCATGAGGCACGCCCTATCGCCCGCACGTGAAGGCGCAGCAGCAGCAGCAGCAGCAGCAGCTGCTGCTGCTGCTGCAGCAGAGCACCAGGTGCCGAGCAGGATGCGGCTGGTGATTCGACCGATGAATGCTGCTGCTGCTGCCCCCCAGCAGCAGCAGCAGCAGCACGTGCAGCAGCCGCAGCAGCAGCAGCAGCAGCAGCAACAGCAGCAGCGTCAGCAGCGAAACGCCATGAACTCCCAGGGGTTCATTGAGGACTGCAGCAGCCTGAGGGACCGTGGCCAGCAGCAGCAACAGCAGCAGCAACAGCAGCAGCAGCAACAGCAGCAGCAGCAGCAGCAACGGAAGCAGCCACAAGTTTCAGCGGCAGCAGCAGCAAGCTGTCCACTGAAGCACAACCTCGAGAGCACCAGCCTAATGATGGAGGTTCGGCTAAACCCTAAACCCTAAACCCTAAACCCTAGACCCTACAGTTGAAACCCTAATATCTCGTCGCTACTATCGAGGACTTGGCTGTTCGCTGACCTCACCGGTGCTGCCTTTCTGCTGCTCTGTTGCTGCTGCTGTTCTGTTGCTGCTGCTGTTCTGCTGCTGCTGCTGCTTTGCCTTGCTGCTGCTCAGGAGGAGCAGCCTCTTTGCTGCAGCAGCGGCAGCGAGAAGGGTTCGCTGCTGGTGACATCGGCGTCAGCAGCTGCTGTTGCTGCAGCAGCAGCAGCAGCAGCAGCAGGAGATACTGCTCTCCAACACACTGCAGCAGACGCAGAAGGCAGCAGCTGTCCGAACAACTACATGCAGTCTGACACAGCAGCAGCAGCTGGATCTGCTGCTGCTGTTGCTGCTGCTGCTGCAGCAGCAGCAGCAGCAGGCACAAGCAGCGCTGCAGCAGCACCCAGCGACTCCTGGGATCGTCTCCACGGCAGCAACAGCAGCAGCAAGAGTGATGTCGATAGCGACAGCCAGAACAGCTGGCAGGATAGCGGGAGCAACAGCAGCAGCCGCAGCAGCTGCAGCAGCAACGGCAGCAGCAGCACAAGCAGCACGAGCAGCAGCAACAGCAGCAGCTGGCGTAGGGATGCTGCTTCAGCGCCGCTGCTCGCACAAGGAGGAAGAGCAGCAGCAGCAGCAGCAGCAGCAACGGGAACACCAGCAATAGGAAAATATTCTGCACTGTTGACTGCTGCTGCTGCTGCTGCAGGCCTCAACGCTGAGGCGCTGCAGCAGCTGTCTTGGCTCGACGAGAGACGCACAGACAGAACGTAACAACCCCTAAACCCTAATAAATCCTAAACCCTAATAAACCCTAAACCCTAAACCCTCAACAACCCTCAACCGAAGGAAAGCAATCTTGTAGTCAGAGCAGAGCCACCGAAAATAAATACAAATA